AATAATCCTCACTGTTGTACCAACAGGCAACATCATAATAAATGGAGAAAAGATTGCTGTTGTCAATGATGTCATTTTGCTTTGATCCACAGTCAACACACATAGCAAGCAGCAGTAGAGAAATAAAAACATGTTTTGCACTGTGAAAATCTTCTGGGAAGGACCTTTCCAAACTGGTAAGGAGCAAAGACCTCAGTTTAAAGACTAAGGTTCACTTGGTCCAAGCCATGCTCACTTCAATTTAATTCTAGAAGATGGACTCTGTGAAGAAGAGAGGGGCATCAGGATTGAAGAAGACTCATTGACAACCTGCATTGTGCAGAGGACACAACTTTGCTCTCGAAAAATGATCAGAAATTAAAGACTTGTTGCAGAAGATCAAAGACTATAACCAAAGCTTCTGAAAGTTGGACAGTAAATTGGGATGACAGAAGAATGGATGCCTTTGAATTGTGCCACTGGAGAAGAGTACTGAGTAGTCCATAGGCAGCCAAAAGGACAAGAAGTATATATGTTGAGGAAAATGCAACCAGGATTCTTCTTAAAGAAAAGACGGTGAAACTTTGTCTCAGGTATTTTGAGCAGATTGTCAGGAGAGATGAGTCTTTGGGGAAAGACTCATCATCATGTTGAGAATTACAGAGGATCAAAAAAGAGGAAGACTCTCCGTAAGATAGATTTCTAGTGACTCTAACAATGTAGTGGATCATATCAGAGACCACGAGGATGGTTCAGGATAGGGCTATGTTCAAATCTGTTGTTTATAATCTCCCTTGATTTGATAACACTTAACAACAACTCCTTCCCTTCTCCTTCCTGACGACTCTCCAAGACTGATCCTATCTGCATGTGAGCCTTTTCTTTGTTGTTGTTGTTGTTGTGTACCATCAAATCAGAAATGACTCACAACTGTCTCTCCAGTGTGTTTTCAGAGACTCTAAATCACATGAGGGGAAATGGTCCAACTTTCTCTCACATAACATCTCATTGATTCAGACTGCATTCCCTAAACTTTGTCTTAGCTTCTTGTAATTGTGTTGTCCTACAACAATTGTCCTTTTGTGAGTGACATGTCTCTCAACATCTTTTTCTCTAGATTCATCCATTTTATGCAGTGTTTTGTGAATTCTTTATGATTAGATGTTATCGAGTCAAGTACAACTGAAGGTGACTCCATGAACAATAGATAAGAACCCTGCCCTATCCTGTGCAATATCATTTTATAAAAACTGGAAACAGCATGGAGATTGCTAAGCCTGGCCTCCACTTACTTCAGAAAGGGGACCATCCTCATCAGCAACAGCTGATAAAACCAGTTGCTATTAGATCAGACATGTCCCCCAGGCTCCTGCACTTACTTCTAATTCCAACACAAATATTATTGCTCTATAACTTGGTCTAAAATCTGCTGCAATAGTCACACAAGTCTCACAAACCATATTCATGACTATGAGGTTTGTCAGGGATGTAAACCAGTTATGAGTAGGAATGTAGCATCAGGATTGGAGGAATACTCATCAATAACCTATGTTATGCAGATGACACAATCCTGCTTGCTGGAACTGAGAAGGACCTAAAGGGCTTGCTGCAGAAGGTCAAGGACTTTAGCCTTCAATGTGGATTGAAGTTCAACATCAAG